AGCATATAAGATTAGTTTTATCCCTAAAGGGTATAAAGGATCTCACACGTAGACCAAGGACTTCAGTCCTATAAAACTGTCATCTTTCATCTTTTATCGAAGGCTCAAAGAAGGGTAAATCCACAGAAAAATTCAATAGTGAGTATAATAGAAAAATCCATAAAGTATATTGGCGGCTTTCCAAGACAACGTCAAATCAGAATAGTCATTTGACTCATTAGAACAACTGAAGATGACTGGTAGGTAAACTCCTAAATTAAAGACACATCGAATTCAGTTAAGGGGCCTCAAATATTTCTAAAGTAACGACTAAAAGCACTCTAAAAGAAGGAGTATTATCGCCATTACTGTGGAATCTTAACATTAACACTTAGCTAAAGACTATGGACGAAACGTGCTGCAAAACGGTGGTATATGCAGATGATGTACAGTAATAGAGGTTTTGAAATCTGTGCCTTAACTTCTACCGTGGGCTGGGTGTAAACCTAAGCAAAGCATAATTGATGCTATTACTCATAAGATTCTTTTAAATGAACTGCGGCGCTGATTCTGGTGTCTTCGGTGAAGAAGTTGGGTTTAGGTTTTCTTACCGTCTTCCCTACAACTGTGGTGTCTTTCAGGCTGAAATATTTGCGATAAAGTCAGCATGTAGAGTATTATATGACATAGACATTTTTGCCGTTAGGCAAGCGGTGCTACTCTCACTAAACTCATTTTCTACCACTGCCTTATTAGTTAAACAATGCAAGAAGGACCTCTAAAAACTGAGTCTCCAGTGTAATATTGCCATAGTTTGGGTGCCTGCACAAAGCGACTAAATGAACATTCAGATGACAGAAACTAATATGCTCTGAAAAACGCACAAGATACCTTATAGGCCGAAATAGGCGGAATATATCGAGGTTGATAGCAGTAATAATAGGACACTGGATACTGGGCACACATGCAAGGCTCCCCTTTAATGAGTTCTATCGCAGTTACAAAGACAGGGGTAAGGAAGAAACGGTCTTTCATCTTCTCTGTAAATACCCTGCTCTAGCCACTAAGTGAAACTGCTTTCTTGGCAGTTACTTCATAACCAACCTTGGTGATATATCTGGGTCTAAGCTTAATGATATCCAGAGATTTCTCTCGGGTACAGGCTGGATCTAATACTATAAAATACTACATCTGAACGGAGTCTCTTCGATTCTAATTCACTGTTCGCCCGCAGTGAACTTGTGGTCGTAGCCACATAAGTCTCAATGTGATTAGTTAGGATAAAAAGTGGGCGGACTAGCAGCAGGGGCGTGGCACCTCCTTAATTAAATACACAAATTTGTTTATCTTGGAAACTATTAGGGTTAAAAGCTTCCAATTTTCATCAGGGGGTGGCTTGGAACCCCCATATGAATTATATAGAAAAATTTGTATTAAATGGTGTAACATTCGCACTTTCTGATAATACTAAATATTTTCGACTTGCATTGGAACCTCAACCCACAAGCTAGGACCAGTATAGACTCAACATTCAAAAGTCATTTTAAACTTTTAAATAATGTTGAAAACCTCGCAACACGATTTGAAATACTAGCAATAATAATAATTATTTGTTTCAAGGTGTCAGGGAATGATCTCGAGTCATGCAACCATTATCATAAACGCATAGTACCCTTCCCATGGTGTAGAGTATTAAAATGGGAAAACATATTTTTTTCGAATAATAAACACACATGAATGGTTGAATAGAATTTTGCGACTGTAAAAGAAATATTTAAACGCATGTTATTTTCTTCTTTATTAAAGTTATTTGTTTTGTCTTTTTAATGAAGCATTTGCCCTAAAGCATTTTGTCTATTACTCAACAACATAAGCATAATCTTTAGTATAATTAAAAAAATCTGTATATTTTTAAAGTAACAAAATAAAACGTTTTGTATTTTAAATAAAACTTATTCTTAATTCTTGTGGCTTATGTCATACTAGTAAATTGTTTATTTTCTAACCAACAAAAGATGACCAGACATTTGACTATTCTTTTAACTTTTTTTTTAAATATTTGTGTATAAATTAAGAATCAATTTACTTCCACACACTTGATTATCGTCGTCGACAAAAATCCATTAATATTTAACTTGGTTGTTCTACCTGGTGATCAAGTTGAGTCTAGCTTGATATTTCTATTAGTAAATAATTTAAATATGTTAAGCTAATTTTGATTTTGTTTGTTTTAATTATTTTTAAATCTTGAATTAAAACAACGAGATTAATAATTGTAACACCAGTAATATTTTCTTCCTCCACAACATTTACATATTTCAAATGGCCTCTCAAACTGGCATCTGCTGAAAGGAATTCGTGAGATAATTTTCTAAAAGTGAATTTCCTTAATTGTATATGATGAACGTTACTGAATAATCAGAGTCGCGTTTTATTTACTAATATTAATTTTGCGATAGGCAACCCAATATTTTATGATAAATACCATATATTTATTTGGCTAAAGTGACCTTAACTTTGATTGTTTAGAAGATTAAATAAATCCCTAGAATTTATTAATAAATAATTAAGATCTATTGTTAAGCTAATCGTTTTTATGTTTATACCATAAATGACGACATAAGGTAAGAATAAAAATTTACATTTTATAATCTGTGAAACAATGGACGAAATATGTAAATTAATTGTTATTTTATAAGCTTCTTTATTATTAATTTTTATTTTGGAATGTTTCTTTTAAACTTTAAATAAAGTCACGTTCTTTACTGGTAGAACGAGATTAACGCTTCGGCTTCTGGTCGGCTAAAGAATAATTACGACAAAAGTTATAATGCAGTCCGATAAGATAAATCTTTCAGATCTCTAGGGAGTATATTCCGGTGAGATAAATACAACTGCTCTGTATCTGCTAACTGTCTACTTAGGGGAAATAATGACTATGGTTTTCAATTGATAAGATCGGCTATATGAGATTTCTTAGTACGGCTCTCGGTTGGTTAACTACGGATTTCAGTTGCAGTATTAGTAAGTTAGTTCGAAAGAAGGATGTATATACATCAAATCCGAAGGAATACGCTTAGGACTCTATCGGGCCTGTTGTGCGCTCTTTTACTAGTGCCTCAGGTGGTAATCGAGAGCCCAATTTATATGTACTTCATAGAAAATGTTTCCAAAAATTCGACATGGGACCGGAAACTGCGTAAATACGTATATATTTCCATAGTCGAGGCTCTGAGACAGTTTACAAAAAGCAACAAGCTATTATGGAACCTTATGGGTTCTACTATAGTGGCATATGTTCATGATATAGTGCTCCCTATAAAAAGAAAAACGATAAGTGATTTCATTGTATTATTATGGACCAAGAAAAACGGTCTAGTGGTTACCTCCACAAAGTCTGAGTTGGAGCTTTTTACCACCTGGAATTCATGGTACAGTTTTGGAGTTTGGAAATACCTTAGGATAAATAATAATGAAATGACTAAGGCCCTATGCGGTTTCTATTAATTCCAGAAAATATTCGGAGAGATACCTATTCTGATCTATGGTTCTCTAGTTTGGAGGAAGGTCACAGAAACCAAATCACATATGTATGTCCATTTTATGTAAGCTACAAAGACTGGCTCGTCTTTCTAGTACAGGCGCTATGAACCTCAACGCCCTATGATAGTCTGGAGGAATGGCAATATATACATCCACTTGACACTTACATTAAATTTTGTTTCTGCTAAATTGGCTGAAGAGTTTGAATATGATCTTATTGTGAAAGTAGATAAACTGAATCTAAGGCAACAGACCTTTCGAATTAGAATACCAACAAACACTGCTGCAAACACTGTCCTTCGAATATCAGTCTACACTGAGTCTACGATTCAAAAACTGTCACAGTTACTGGCTTGAGAATTTTCTCCTATGATCTTGGTTTCATGGTTTCCATCCGATAGATAGATTGAAATCTACGTCCTCGATATAGACGGGAGAAGCATCCGAAAACAAAATTTCTAGACTTCAACCATTAAAATCTTACAGTCTTGTATCTCTCAAGGCTATCGTAAAAAATTTCCAAAATAAAACACAAATAATCACAGTTTATAACATATTTAGTTTTTATTACATTTTATTGGATTGATTTTAGTTCTTTTGATTTTCATATATCATCTTATATATTTTCACCTTAAATTAATAATGTGTAAGTCTATAGAACTATAATTAATTATTCATAAAATATACATGTTGTAAATAAGTGAGTTATATATGATTAATGATACGTAAACTTAAAATATTGATTTAATCATATGTATAGAGTTCAAAGATTGAAAAAAAGAATAATTATAATAATAATACAACATTAGCTTTTAGATTGCAAAAAATAAAACATTAAAATTAAAAAAATAGTATAAAAATTTGTAATATGTGTTTCTTCAAAGGAATCTGTGATCGGCACATAGAGAGCACATTCTTTAAAAAGGTTTAACATGATACTGCTGATATGGTTATGTTAGAGAAGATATGGATTATTATTTGTATTAGCTTTTAACCAATTACTTTTACTGTTTATTATAGAATGGGGCAGAAGGTATAATTATCTGAATGTGTTAATGCATGTGCGCTTTGAATAATTTCACTTTTACGAAATGGAAAGTATATTTTGTTTTCATCACAATATGGAAGAACTAATAAAATATTATTTATAATGTTTAAACAAAAATACGGATGTGAATGTTGATAATGTCGACCATTTTGTTAAGATATGATGTCAATAAAGTAGAAAATTACATAAAAACAACTTTTTAACAAAAAAAAGAACAAATTTGCACATTATCAAAGATAAAGATTAATTTACAAGATACATGGAATAAACAAAAATTTAACGATAAAATAAAAACTTAAATATAATTTCTTTAAAAAGAAACCATTAATTTCTTTATTGTTTCGATTTTTCAACTTTGGAAGCCGGGTTATTGTTTTCAATTTTATTTTTTGGCATAAAAGAACTTTCGTTTTTTATATCTTTTCATTTATGGCCACAAGAAATAAAATTTCGTTGTCTCAACTTTCTATTGTATTATTTAAGGGGTTTTTTTTTGTAGTTTTGCAAATTTATTTAATAGTTTTGATTATTATTATTGTTCATCGTTGTTTCAGAAATTTCTTTGTTTAAAATTGTTTTGCTGTTAAATATTGTATAATTATTACGATATTAGTTCTGCTACTGTCTAGTCAAAACATTATTAAATCGTGTGGTTATTAATTTTTGTTTAATTATAAATTTTTTAAGTAATTTTACCAATATTTTTGTACAAGTTTCATAATATAATTTTGTAGTTTTCTTGGGGGTTTTTTATTTTGTAAAGTATTTTTATAGATAAAATTAAAAATAATTAAGTTTTACAGTTAAATGCGATATGGAAGTTTCTTTTCATATGTGTTTCACAATAATATATTTGTCAATATTTACAAATTTATTTTTACAATTTCTTTTTATAAATAGTTTTGTCTTAATATATTGGCAGGACTTTAACGGTTAATGGAGTAAATATTGTTTCAAAGATGATATGAAATAGTTTAACTCACAAAATATTTGAAGTTTGTTCTAATCATTAAACAACAGAACCTTTATATAGCTAGATGTCGAAAATTCTGGAACAAGTTTTCTCGGATTATTAAAATTGCCATAAACATATTTTATAAAGTATTCCTTATTTATAAAAGTTTTATGTTTTAGAGGAAATGTTCGTAAAATAAAACAGAATTTCCGTAAAACCCTAATTTTCTCGTTACTATAAAATGCAATTTATATTATAATCAAAAATAACTTTAGTTTAAAACTAAATTTAAGATTAAATTGAATTTTCCTGGTTTGTGCAGTACAACTTTCAAAACTTTCATATCTTCTACACCTTTTTTAAATCCCTAAACATTTTGCAAATATTTATTTGTCTGTTTATTTCTGCCCGAACTAAAGAGATTCCAAAAACGTCTAAAACAACCGGGTTTCTTTTCTATGGCCACATATCTGTCCTCTTCCATTATGGTGTCTAGTATATAATAACTACTCAAATTGAGCGGTGGTGGTGGCAATATTGGAGGTTGTCATGAAATTGTACAATTCTTGCCATCACCAGCAATTGCTGATGTTGTGGTTGTTGTTGAAGCTGAATTGGCCGCTATAGAAGAAGCTGCCACCGATGATGAATGATTACTATTTAGCATTGATTGACCGGTACCATAGCTATTCATGGCATTGTTGGCTTGTTCCATCATTGCTTGTTTCTTAAGTTTTTTCTCATACGCAATGGCATCGTTGGGAACATAAGAAACACGCACTCCACCATAATGTTTGCGTGCTGGCAGACGATAGACATAATCATCCATATCACTCGATGAACTGGACGAACACGTAGAGCAAATGCTGGCCGCATCACAATTGTCCAAATTTTTCACAGCACTTGAACCGGCTTGAGTTTGAGCATTGTGCAGTCTTAGATTGGTTTGATTGATTTGCATTTCCGAATTGCTGCGTGACTGATTGCGTTTGCGTCGTCGACGACGTGCATTCGAATTGTCTGTATAACTTTTGGAACGTGACATGGTATCGTGAATACTGTGAAATCTTACTTCTTTGGTGGGATGACGATTGTTTTCCTCATCTTCACCCTCCTCATCATCGTCGTCTTCATCATCGTCGACATCGTTTTTGATGCGTTCATAGTTATCATGTGGCAATTCATCGTGACCCTCATTATCGTTTTCCTGGTCCAGCTCCAATTCATTTGTTATCTCTTGGGTACTTTCAGTCATGTCCGAGTTGCTGGGAGAGTTAATATTAATTTTATCTATACTTTGATAACTATGAGAATCTTCAGCTTTGGATACCAGCATATCGGGTAGTGAGGCTGTGATATTGGGATCCCCAAATATTGTTTTATCTCCAGAACAAATATTGTCTAGGCTAATGCCCAATTCGGTTAAATCTATAGGAGGTGGATGGGCTGGTCGTGGTATTCCCGGGGCAACCACATTGTCGAGATTACGGGCCAACATTAAACGACCCAAATCTTCTCTTCTTTGACGTTCTTGTCTTTCTAGCAAATCTCCAGCACTGCCTGAACTTTTGTGACCATGACGATCTTTGTTATTTGTTGCTTTGCCTGGTCTTGGTGAACGGGCTATTTGACTTGTAGTGCTGGCACGATGTGTTGGTCTTAGCTGAGGTCCAGAACTGGTATCCGAAGGTGTTGGTGGTTCGCCTTTACTGCATGCTATTGAACAGTAAATAGTGCCACGACGAGGTAAGAAAGGTCTACCCAACAGTGAGCAACGACAAGTACAGCACGAAAAACATTGATCGGTTGCATGCCAATGTTGACCATCATGAGACATTTGGCCTTGATCCACGCCTATAGCATCGCCACAATAGTCACAATATTCGGCAAACATTGTGTCGAAACAACTCAAGCAATAAGGTTTGCCTTCGCGCATTATATACCTTTGACCGCCCAACTGAAGATCACATTCGAAACAAGCAAAATGTTTCATGTGCCAAGTACGCCCCTCAGCTTCAGTACATTCATCTGAGAATATAATCTGAAAAGATAAATGTTTGTTTAAAAAAATTATTGCAATTTTTTAAAAATTTTTGTATTTTTGTTATGGTTTACTTAATGCTTAACTTATGGCTAAAGCCATTTCAAATAGTTTTTTTTTATTACTTTTAGAAAATTAATTAATTTGTGTTGCACTTAATTATCTACCATTTTTAGTTGTAAAACTTAAAAACATGTTGTTGCTGAAAATAAATGCTAAACATATTCAAATATCATATAAGGCAGTTGGCTCTTGCTAAAATTTTTACAATTTAAATTGTAATTCAATAATTCAATATTAAATTGAAACCCCTAATTTAGAAATCAGTTTTTGTTGGACGCCTTACTTTGTAGATACATTAACTAAATGGTTGAAGTGGTTAGTGCTAAAGTATTTATTTTTTGCAGAAATTTTATTTTAAGGAGTAAAGACATTATACACAATAAGTAAGTAATAAAGCTACTTTTAAGACTTTTTTGTTTAATATGTTTATATAAAATTAAAGTTAAATACAGATAATGTGCACTAAATTTTATTTCTCATAAAAATTTACTTAGTCTTTAAGTAAATATTTATTTTACACAGTCATTCCTCGAGTGTAGTGGAAAAAATATTTTTGATCGGTCACAAACATATAGTAAAGCAAGTAAAAACTATAGGCGGATATAACGTGCACACTGATACTCATATTCAATCCTTAAACCAGTTCGATGTTGAGCGGGTGTTCCGCAACTAGACCAACAACATGCTAAGGAATAAAGGGTATTACCCTTTACACTGGGTAACCAGGATTAATAGAATCCTAGGGACCCTAACTGAGAAATGACTTAGACCTGCTTGCTATGCAGGCGATTTCGTAATTCTTTTAAGGTGAAAGGAGAACCATTGGCATGAAATGGGTCATTAATCCTGGACATACTGGACACATTAGAAGACCATACACGATCATCGGACTTGCCCGATCACATACCAGACACAGAATATGTCGGAAACTTTGAAACACTGATCCCATGTAGAATGACCAAGTGGTATATTAGACCAAATATCCGTAGGAGGAATCTGTTGCTACACGGATCACTTTAAACTGGGGGACAAAGTGGACCTGGGGTTCTATACTGAAGACCCAAAAACGGAAATATACTAGCATTTACCCTATCACAACACTATCTTTCTGGCAGAAGACCGAGCAATAACGGAATCCGTGAATTGGATTAGATTATGGAGCCCAAAAGATTTCACATATATACCGACAGTCAGAAGGCAATTAGGGCGATATCTAAACCTGTATTGAATTGTAAGAAAGCACTAACCAAACACTCTCTCAAAGGTAAGGTTAACATCATATGGGTACCAAGCCAATCGGGAGTAGTCGCGGGGCAGGGAGCTCAAGGTAGTAAAAATATGGGCGAGAGAAACCCATAAGGCAACTTGAAATAATAAAATGGTGGTTAGAACCACAAAGAGAAGTCTCCTCAAAATGAGCAAGTCTGAGGTTAGTATGATGGTAGGTTTTCTGAGTGGACACATAGGATTTCGGGAGCAGCTATACTAAGTAGTGCATGTAGAGAGGATAGTGAAACTCCAGAGCACTTTCTTAGCCATTGTCAGACTTTAGCGGAAATGAGATTATTCCGCACATAACATCACTTACGAACACTCATTGGAATTACTTCCAGGAAACAGAGTTTCTTAACATCGGACTATAATATATTCAGTGAATACTGTAGAAGGTTTTTGTTTTTACCAACAAACTGGCACGAACAAAGGGCACAACAGGCCCGTTAGTGACCTAGGTGTATTTCTTCGAATTTGATGTAGATACATCCTCCTATCAACATAACCAAACCATAGTCAGGCATGGCCGACCATATGACACCCTACATATTTATACTTTGTATAGGGGATAAGGCCAAATAAAGTCCGATCTATGGCATTATCATTTAGGCTTATATAAAACTAATTTGCGCTGATTTTTGTAGAAATACTATAACATTTAACATAATTATGAGTTCAAAATACCTATTCGAGGGGATAAGGTTTGTTTGTGGGCTACCCAAAAAATGGATCGATTTTAACCCGATTCACGACTTTGTTTGTGAAGATAATTCATAAAATTATCTTGAAAATTGCGATTTATAGTTTGATTCCGAGCCGATTGATGTACTTTAAGGTGTTTGTTGAACCAATATTTCTGAGTTACAAACATTCGATATATATAAAAATACAATTCATTATGCAAGGGATACCTGTAAGTAATTTTTGTTTATTTATCAGCTCGTTTTGCTAAACAAAAAAAAAAAAAAAAAAAAAGATTCCCTAAAGACTTGATGCCAAAGTCATAAGTTGTTGTTTTGTAAATACATATATTTAGATGTTGCTGGTCTGTGTTGGTTGTAGTATATAAAAAAATATTTATGACTGTAAACATGTTACAACGACTTACCTCATCACATGCCGAACAACGTGGCTTTTGGGTTTCAGCATGATGACGTCCACAATAGAGGTTGCCATCACGATGGAAATATATTAAATCCACCAGTAATTCCTTGCAAACACAACAAACAAAACAGGCAGGATGCCAACAAACCTGTGCGCCAAGACGTTGAGCAAAGACCACAATGTCACCAGAGGAAAGTTGTTCGTTGCACTAAAAATAAAAACAACAACAAGAAGAAAAAAGAAATGTTAAAGAATGTGAAATCTAAGAGAAAAAAAAATCCAATTTTATGTCAAAAGATGATGATGTTAAATTTTTCATCTAAAATATGTTTACATTATGGTTTTTGTACAATTCTTTATATTAAGAAGTATGTATGTTTAAATAAAACCTGAGGAAATGATTATTTCGAGATTTCCCAAAATATATATGAAACATATTTAAAATGCCATAAACTTATTTTTTTGCAAAAACATTTAAACTTCTATTGATAAAAATCTTTGGCATTTTTATACCCTCCACCACCATCAGTGGTGATAGAGGGTATATATAACTTTGTCATTCCGTGTGTAACACCAAGAAATATTCATCTGAGACCCAACAAAGTATATATATTCTGGGTCCTTATCAAATTCTGTGTCTATGTCCGTTAGCTATGTCCGTTTGTCCGTCTGTCTGTGTAAAACACGCTCACGGTAAAACGAAGCAATAGAGCTTAACCAAATTCACCCAAAATGTTCTTCATTTTCCTAAGTTGTTTGGTATTGCAAATGGGCAAAATCGGTTCACACCGGGAAAAGTTATGAATCAAAATTTAAAACAACCTCGGAAAAAAATAAGCATTTTTTACACATTCTGATGTAGTTTTCTCGAAAACTATGCAAGATAATTCCATGGAAATCACCATACATTCGTTTCTGCACAAGATCTTGATCCCTGCTGAAAATTACCAGAATCGGTCCACAATTTCATATACCTCCCATACAAAAGTACATATTCCCGGAAAATTGGTTTTTTGTTAATAACTTCCGCCACAATGTCGATATCTTCACAAAATTTTACAAATTAAAATCTTATATCAATAGAATTCTTTCAGAGGAAAAATTTTATGGATCGGTCCATAATTGGACATAGCTCCCATACAAGGTCCCCTCCCGAAAATCACTTAAACGCGCATAACTCATTAGTAAATTAAGATATCCAAATAAAATTTGGTATAAGTATTGCCCATATGCATAGAAATATTACTGTGAAATTTTTTTCCGATCGGTCCATAATTGGTCATAGCTCCCATACAAGGTCCCCTCCCGCAAATCAGTTAAACGCGCATAACTCATTTCTAAATTAAGATAACCATATAAAATTTGGTACAAGTATTACTCGTATGCACAGAAATTTTACTGTGAAATTTTTTTTCGATCGGTCCATAATTGGTCATAGCTCCCATACAAGTCCCCTCCCGAAAATCACTTAAACGCGCATAACTCATTACTAAATTAAGATATCCAAATAAAATTTGGTGTAAGTATTGCCGATATGCATAGAAATATTACTGTGAAATTTTTTTCCGATCGGTCCACAATTGGTCCTAGCTCCCATACAAGGTCCCCTTCCAAAAATCACTTAAACGCGCATAACTCATTACTAAATGAAGATATCCATATAAAATTTGGTATAAGTATTGCCCATATGCATAGAAATATTACTGTGGTATTTTTCTTCCCATCGGTCCATAATTGATCATAGCTCCCATACAAGGTCCCCTCCCGAAAATCACTTAAACGCGCATAACTCATTACTAAATTAAGATATCCATATAAAGTTTGGTACAAGTATTACTCATATTCACGGTCCATAATTGGTCATAGCTCCCATACAAGGTCCCCTCCCGAAAATCACTTAAACGCGCATAATTCATTACTAAATTAAGATATCCATACAAAATTTGGTATAAGTATTGCCCATATGCATAGAAATATTACTGTGAAATTTTTTTCCGATCGCTCCATAATTGGTCATAGCTCCCATACAAGGTCCCCTCCCGAAAATCACTTAAACGCGTATAACTCATTACTTAATTAAGATACCCATATAAAATTTGGTTCAAATATTACTGATATGCACAGAAATATTACTGATATGCACAGAAATATTACAGGACATAACTCATTACCAAAAAATTATATTAATAAATACTATTTTTGTTCATAAATACTATTTTGCAATGCAAAAACCCTTAATGTCATTTCAAAATTTTTTCACAATCGGTTCATCCTTGGTCATAGCTCCCATACAAGGTTCCTTCCCGAAAATGACTTAAACGCACATAACTCATTACCAAATCTTGATATCCATACAGTTAGCAAAAATATTGCTCTTATATACATAAATTAAACTATAAAATTATTTTACGATCGGTCCATATTTGGTCATAACTCTCATACTAGATCCCCTCCAGAAAATCGCTTAAATGCACAATATTCATGATATAAATACAAAATTTGAAATTTTGTCTTTATATACATAATTGGTCATAGCTCCCATACAAGATCCTTTTACGAAAATCTCCTAAAGGCACATTTCTCATTACCAAATAAAGCCATTGATACAACATTTGGCACAAATAATAGTTTTGTATGCAAAAGTTATATTTCAAGATTTTTTCTCGATAGGTTCATAACATGGGTGCGGTGGGTCCCATACAAGGTTCCCTTCAGAAAATGACTAAAACGCACATTACTTATTACTAAATTACGATATAGATACAAAATTTTACTGAAATATAGTTTTTATGTACAGAAATTTTGCTTAAAGAATTTTTTACGATCGGTCTATATTTGGTCATATCTCTCATACTAGGTCCTGTCCCTAAAAGCGCTTTAACCGTATTTAACTATTTGCATTATCAATTTGTGTAGAACAAAATTTATATATGTATGTAATTTGGAAATACTTAAATCTTTCACACACATGCATACATGTAAATACTAAATATCGCTAAGGCATATCTTAGGGCGCTATAAAAATTTAATAGAAAGTGGCGTTTCTAATGTTCAATAAATCTTGGAATTCTAGTAGATTTAAGCTGTTTAAATCTTGGGATTTTTCTATTTAAGACATGAGAAAACTTATTTCTACAAATATTTTATTAATTAATACAAAAGTTGCTGGTGGAGGGTATTTAAGATTCGGCTCAGCCGAATATAGCACTCTAACTTGTTTGTTTATTAAGCCACTAAAGAAGGAACCTTTATAAATACTCCCTATGCTGCATATCTACCTACTTGTACGGCTCAAATACATACAAACAACATGAAACAGCAATTGTGCCTTAAGGACATATTATAAAATTTAAAGTTTTGAGTATACAGTATGTTTGTACTTCGTTTATGTTTTTTTCCTTTTCCCCTTTTCAAATGCTTGAGATTCAAAAGAGTCATATCGGAGGAAAATTGTATAAAGAAAAAGGGTTTGAAACATTTACAATTTGAAGAAACCATTAAATGTTTAAACATTCGTTTTTTTTCATTTTTTAAATTTTACAATGACTTGGTTCGTTGCTTGTTGTTGGCTTTATTTGAGTTTTCCTATTTAGTGAAAGTGTTCCCTAGAGGTTTTCTTTATTAAGGCGTATTTTGTGAAATTACTCTGCATTTCAACTCTATTCTACTACTAAATGAATTTTGTGGGTTTTTCGTTTAAATGGTTATTTTTTGTTGTTTGTTTTAATTTGTTTTAAACCAAATAATTGTTAATGCGTGGGCATTATATTGTTTTTGTCTGTCAGGGCTATTATAGAAATAGCATTTAGTTTATTTAATACATTAATTTAAATAAACAAAAATTGTTCAGACTAGGGATTGTTTTTATTGTTATGGAAATGGTTTTTAGTTTAATTTGTCCCATTTAAAATATCAAGCCAGACAGACTACCATTGATTTAAATGTATAATTAAACTGTTGTAATTATCGATTGGCAAATTAAAGGTATTTATCTGTGTTTTTCATGTCACTTATATATTAAATTTGATGGAATTTAAAATATACGTTTGTAGACTTATGTAGATGATCTGTAATGTTAAATAGTTAAATGTATGAATGAAATACTATGCTAATAACAGATATTGATGAAGACAGACTCAACACGGGCAGTTTATTGCAAGAGCATAAAAACCGTCACAAGAGAGATAGTTCACTAACCCAGAACTTTTACCATTTAAACAGTTAAGAGCCTTTTATTTGAAAACACAAAATCAACAATACTAAAAGTAAAAAACGAAATGCCAATATCACTACTTTAATAATTTTAAATTCTCATATTTAACAAGAAAGAATACGAAAGCTTTAACTGAATACTCTCCCAGAGGTAAGGTTTACACCATATGGGTACCAGCCCACTCGGGAGTAGACGGCAACGAAAGGGCGAGTGTAATAGCTTTAAAGGGAAAGGAGCTCGAGGCAGTTAACTTGACAAACGCAAAACCATTCCACGCAACAAAAACTGAACTAAAAATATGGGTGAAAGAATTCATAAGGCCTCTTGGAATAATGAAACAGTGGGTAGAACCACGAAGATGGGGTGTCCCTGATGAGAGCAAAACGAAAAATCTCGTCAAAATGAGCAAGTCTGAAGTTAGTATGATGGTACGAATTCTGAGTGGACATACAGGATTACGAGCACATCTATGCAAAATTGGACGTGCGGATTCAGACGAATGTAGAGCATGTGGAGAGGGCAGTGAAACTCTGGAGCACTTTCTTTGCCACTGCCAGGCATTCGTCGAAGTTAGATCCAAGTATCTTGGGAGTGATGTTATTCCGGAAATAACATTCCTTACTAACACTGATTGGAAGATTCTTAGGAATTACGTTCAGGAAACTGAGTTTCTGAACACTGAAAAATAATTCATTCAATGAACTTTTTTTTCATTATAAGGAGCGCACAACAGGCCCGATAATGGTCTAGATGTATTTCTTCGGATTTGATATAGTACACATCCTCCTATCAACCTAACATAACCTTTATAACAGGAATATTGAAATTTTAATTAAGAAATCAAAGTAAATTAGTGATTTCAACCGAAGTATATAGTAAGGTTACGTGAGATGCGATTACACTCTGAGGACCTAAATCTTATTGTTCAGCCATTTTCTAAAACCCCGAGAGCAAAGAGGCACTATTAACAAATATGATTATATTCCTTGATAAGA